ACAATGGCAAGAAGTACTTTGTAGTACCACAGGGCCTCCAAGAGGGTGTTATAGCTATTTAGGCAGAAGGCTGAAGAAAGAGAGTATCTTTTTTGTCATCTGATCAAATTAATTTAGAGCTGGGATGTTTCACTAGTGACTGACAGACAGGCAGTTGATTTTTATACAATACACCTGAGAGTTATCCTGTTTAGGTGAGGAAGCAAAGGTGACTAGTTAATGGCAACAGGTAGGGTTCAACTAGGCCGTTATGCAGTGGTGTAGCATATTGACTCCTCTCCCATGCTGCAATTTTGTGCTTCAGAATCTCAGCAGTGTAATAATAATAATATATAACAGTTTTAATAGTAAATCTCTGGCTGTTATGATTGCAATGAAAACCTTGAAAATGTGAACCAAGTGTAACTAATGAAACAATATCTTCCCGAGTCTGAAAAAATAGTTCAGTGATGAGAACTGCACCGGGAGGTGTGAGTTAATAATGCTGACATTTAAATCATTGTCTCTGGGCATTTGAATGATTTTATTGCTCATAAAAGGAAGTAAGGAAGGAGAGGATCATAGATCTGCACCAGAATAACTTATTGGCACCATGAGTGGGTGACATTTTGGAGATAATACCAACTTCCCTGCAGTCAAAGCCCAAGTGACTTAGCAAGACTCACCAAGGGGGAGCCAAGCCCGCCCTGGAACCCAGTGGAGCACTGACAGCATGCACAATCATATCTGAACATCTGTACAACATCTGAACCATTCCTCACTCTGGCAGCTTGCATGGGTGGAACTTAGAGAAGTACGACCACCTTTCAACCCTGCCCCCTTCCCAGTTTGAGTCTTGGAGGTGATGGTTCATGCTATTAAGCTAATAGCTGAGAGCACAGCTTGAACAGGGAGGTCTGGGGATGAGATAACATTATCCTCTGGAAAAATAACTTCTGTACAACACACATTTATCCCACCATTTCAGATGTTTTGAATTAAAAATGTTTAATTTAGAGCAGGGGTTCCAAATTTCATTGCAACAGGACTCCCTTCTGACAACAAAAATTACTACACGACACCACAAGGGGGGACCAAAGCCTGAGCCCACCCAAGCCCCGCTGCCCAGGGTGGGGGCCAAAGCCAAAGGGTGCCTATAACCTGAAGCCTAAGCTGGAGCCCCAGGTGGTGGGGCTCAGGCTTCAGCTTTGGTCCTGGATCCCAGCCAGTCTAAAGCCAGTCCTGGAGACCTCTGGAGACAGGGTCATGACCCTCTTTGGGGTCCTGACCCACAGTTGGAGAACTGCTGATTTAGAGACCACATTTCTTGTGAGATGACAATAAAATGCTGCCATCCAAAAACAAATTTACACACAATGTATGTTCCTTGTCCCCAAGTAATAAGCCCCTATACTACTACTCTGGGCAGGTGAGTGGGGGCGACTGAAGGAAATATTTCCAGTTTTTCTGAGGTGCATATGCAAGTGGCAAAGGTGGCAGCTTATCACCCCTACACTCCAAACAAATCCTCAAAAACAGCAAGGGACAAAAGAGTAGGTCTTCTGTGTCCTTTCTATAGGAAATTTGATCCTAAAGGTAAATTAAATCTAACTTTGATGGAAAACAAAGGTAGTACTGTAGTTCCCTCTGACGGCATATGAACTGAGAAGTCTCCCACACTTCTGCAGGAAGAACACTGGCTTGCTGGGCATGAGGGAGTGGCCTTGGGTCATTTATGTAACAGGCCTCTCTCCCTTCAGTCTGGGAGAGTGCCATAAAAGTACCCACGCTGGTAGGGGTAACAACACTGTAGAAAACCTAAGATTTGTTTTTTACTTTCTTTTTGCTATTTTGTTTTATTGTGGAACAGTGTAAGTTGTGATTTCAGTGCTCACTGTCTTTTTACCATCCCATATACAAAGGAATGGAGTGAAACTGAATCATTCCTCTGTCAACCAAGAGAGGGCTCCTCTTGAACACTGAACTAGCCACAGTGTTTCACCAATTTTCATTAGATCAGACAAACAAGATTTAGCTGCAAATACAGACTAACACGGCTGTTACTCTGAAACCTTTGAACTTCTGTAATTTAACAGCTCATCTTTGAATAAGGGGCTGTACTTTGAGAGTGTTTAGCTGTTTGATTTTGCAACCATAATCAAAGCAGTTTTCAAAATGAGAATTATTTGGCTGCAACTCTTTAGACCAGGGGTCTCAAACTCCCAGACCGCGGGCCATGAACCTCCCCAGTGTGGCCCGTGGGACTCCAGCAGCTTTGGGGACGGATCTCTCCCTTGGCCCCACCTGCCGCCCTAGGGTGAGCAGACAGCAAATGTGAAAAATCGGGACGGGGGTGGGGGGTAATAGGAGCCTACATAAGAAAAAGACCCAAAAATCAGGACTGTCCCCTATAAAATCGGGACATCTGTTCACCCTATGCCACCCCCGGGCGCCCCCCCCAGGGGCCCCGGCAGCGCAGGGGAGTTGAGTGGCATCTGCCTGCTTGCTCCAGTGGCTGCTGGCCCCTCCCTGCAGCCCCGGGGTGGGATGGGACTGTGCCTCCACGCACTGCTCCCGCCTCAAGCGCCCCTGCGGCCAATGGGAAGCTACAGGGACGGTGCCTGGGGGCAGCAGCACGCAGAGGCCCCCTGGCCTGCCCTGACTTGGAGCCTCAGGTAAGCGCAGCACCCCGTCCCCCGTCCCAGAGCCAAACTTCCTCCCAGAGTCTGCACCCCAGACCCCCTCCCCCACCCAAACTCCCTCCCAGAGCCTGCACCCCAATCCCCTACCCCATACCTCCTCCCACATCCAAACTCCCTCCCACAGCCTTAGGCAGGTGGCGGGCGGAGTTTTGGGAGGGGCAGAGTTTTGGGGGCGGGTTCTGGCTGGTATAAGTGACATTATTGGCCCACTGGGAGGATTTGAGGACTGGCAGTGACCCTAAGGTAAATTCAGTTTGAGACCCCTGCTTTAGACCAACAGTAGAAATCCATTTTCTAAAGCTAAAATACATTTTAAAATTTAATCCTTACAAAAAGTAAACTTGAAGTGCTAATGTATACAATAAACACTAATATACTACTACCAGATAATTGAGGATGTATAAAATAAAGAGCTTGAGGGGAAATTGTTTTCTCATTGTGCAAAAATTTTGAGATTTAAAAGCTTTTTGTCCCCATTGGAATGAGAAAAAGTCAACATCTTGAAAATGCTCAGAAACTAGAACAAATAAATTTGGGGCCAACAAAATGTTTCATTTCTACCAATTTGAAATGTAATGTTTCAATTTTGACCTTTTCATATTTTTTAATACAAATCACTTAAATTTCAAATCAAAATGTGACCTTGAACAAAAAATTGAACTTCTCATTTGGAAAATTTTGAAACAGGGCATTTTGACACTTTTGAAACTTTCCTTTACAAACAAATTTTTAAATGAGAAATGTGTTAAATTGACTCTTCCCTGCAAAATGTTTTGGTTTTGACAAATCTAACTTTAATGGAAAAATATTTTGTTGAAAAATTCTTGATCAGCTCTAAAAAAATATTAGTCCAAGTGTAAGCGGGGGAATGGTCCCGCTATTGTGGGGAACTTTCATGGCTTATACACTACCCCAGTGAAGTGGGCTAGCGAAAGGATCTGAGTCCTTGGCTCCCACTTCCTTTACCCAAAGGCCTGTCTGACCTCAAGGGCTCCCCTTCCACTCTGCTGTGTGGTGGAGTCCTCGTAACCCCAACAAGGCTAGGCCCAGGATTCCTGGGGGGCTTGACCCCCAACCTCGTTTTGGTCACTTAGGACAGGGAAGAGGGTGTCCCCATTCTGGGGTGCTCTCTCCACACTGGATGCTCCCCTGATCCACTGATCGTTACATACAGTTCAAAGCAAATACAATTTATTACACAGCAATCAATTTAAAAAAAAAAAGGAAAAAATGGGAAAGGTTAAAGGAAAACACAGAACCCACTCTGTGGCAAGGGAACATCACAACCAGCGTCTCTGGAATGTAAGGGAAGTTCAGTCTGTTCCTTACAAGTCCCAGGCCCCTTCTCAGGCCCTCGCTGTGCTGCCAGGATGCTGTGGGTCAGACACTTGCTCTGGTGGTGCCCACACACCCTCAGGCACCAGGAGGCAGGGCCCTTCTTCCCAGAGTCGCCCACGCTCCGTCGGTGTTTCGATCCCCCTCCAAGTCTGGCCTGCAAGGCGTCTTGGCTGGGGGTGTCTCCCTGCGTTGGCCTGCTGCCCCCTCGCTGTCCCCAGCTGCTCACCGTACCCAGCTCTGGACTGCTCCAGCCCCACCTCCACTCTGCCTCAGCACAGCTGCTGCTGCTGCTCTGCCTCCAGCAACCTGGGCTGCTTCTCTGGCCCCTCTGGCTCTGGTTTCTACAGCTCTGCTCCCAGCACAGGACTGCTCTGTGACACTGCTTCCAGCACTGACCTGCTTACTGGGCTGCTTTTCTGGCCCCTCTGGCTGGCACAGCTCTGCTCCCCAGCTCAGCTTGGACCCCTGCTCTCTTGTTAGCTCGGCCCCACTGTCTCACCCAGGCAATTCCAGCTCACACAGAGGACAGGACCCCCCCTGGCCTCCTGACTCCCTCATTAGCCTGTCTGCCCTGTCAATCAGGCTGACCTGGAGCATCGGCCTCTCCCCATTGTTCCTGGGGACTGTCAGTCTCAGGCTCCTGATTTCCCATTGATCCCTTCCCCTTTCCTTTGGTACTGGGAGCTAGCCAACCAAAACACCCCCACTGAGTTTTAGTGTCCCCTTACACAATGGCCATCTCTCCCTGAAATTATATGGTAAAATCAAGCTAATGAATGCCAGGTTTTTCTCTCTAGTGAATTGACAATTGATTTCTATTCATTTATCAAGGTCGGTACAAATACAAAAAAATATTGTGCATGTTCATAGACAAACTAGATTGCAAAGTGTCAAGCGTGGTTCCTAGTGCTGTAAAGTTTGGGCACCTCTGATATATAGTTAAACACAAGTACAATAAATGCACACATACAGTAAAAGAGAGAGGATTCCTGGAATGCATCTTTTTAATTTTCTTTTAACAAACCCATATTATAGCCACAATAAAACGTTCCAGAGTTATATACAGCATCATAACCACATATGTAAGATGGCTGAGTATTTTGCCAAGTGTCTCGGACTCCTAGAATGTATTTTGCTTGGTTTTGTACAAAAATATCTGCACATAATCTTTTGCTTAAATAATTAGTTTCTTAAGGCATCAATAGGCACTACATACCACAGCTATGTATATAAGAAGCTAAATGTTACTGTAAATGTAATCATTTGAGAGGTAGTAATCTCTGTCCCCTATACTGTGAGAGGAGGACATTTCTGACAAGTACAATGTTTTCTGGAGAGAGCTCCATCATATTGCACCTTAAAACAAAGGAAAGACCCTGGGAACCTGCCGTTCCCACTGTAGAGTTCTGCAGTCATCCCATGGAAAGCTATGTGTATTTCCCAAATACCATACAACAGGTAAAGATCTCACTCTGATAAATTATTCTGATCAACAGAAGCTTCATCATTAAAGAATGTTCTTAGCCTTAGTGAAATCTGTAATAGCGACCACTACTTGAGACTCTGAGGCTGTCTGTCTATACTGCAGCTGGGAGAAAGCCTTCCAGCCCAGGTGGACTTGTGCTAGCGGGACTCGAGTTGGTGCACTAACAGCAGCAGCATGGACATTGAGGCTTGGGCGGCACTCAGGCTCCTTGCCCACCCGACACACTAGGTCTGAGCTCGGGTGGCTAGAGCCATGTCCACCCTGGTATTTTTAGCAAGCTTGCTCAAGTGAATCTAGTGCAAGTCTGCCTAGCTATACTGGGAGGCTCACAGCTGCAGTGTAGACATACCCTCCAGGTGAGACTATGGTTTTAATAAAGTCAATGACAATTTTGCCTCTGACTTCAACAGGGCCTGGATTTCGTCCTTGCAGCCTTTTCCTACAGAAAATCGATTTGTTTTCTGCTAAAGGGAAAGGGCAGACTCTTTCTTTTGCCTCTTCAAAAAATGTCTGGAGTGCACTCAACATGGAAACCATATCATCTCAGACTTTTAAAATTAGACTGGACAAAGCACTAGTAAATATGCTCTAAGGAACTATCTTGCACATAAATGGAGATGGTCTACAGCAGGTGACCCAACAGACCTTTTCCAGCTCTAATTTCTACAAGTCCCACTTTGCTGAATGAATCACCTTGAAAATTTCTTCAGTAGAGTCTGGGATCAAAAAGAAAAAAAAGTTTTTGTATGAAGACTATAGAAGACTGCAAGCATTTTAAGACAGGGGCCCTGGGTGAAATCCTGGCCCCTTTGAAGTCAAATGGGAGTTTTGCCGTTGACTTCAGCAAGGCTAGGATTTCACCCAATATGTTTGTACATTCATAGAGTGCCTACCACAATTGACCTAGGTCTGAATTGGGACACCAGGATACTACTGCAATATAAAACAAAAATAAAATATTTAGACATACAGAATATTAATCTGCAAATACTCTAGTAATGTCCTAAACTGCACTCTAATTACATACTTGCAAATTCTGAGTGTAAAATCTGTATAGAATCTGGATGCAGCTCTATTGGCCCTTGTTTCTATAGTAGGACAGTATCTGGAAGGGTATCTGTTATATTTAATTTTTTACTTTTACACTGGGTAAGATATAAATAAATAATTCTGTCCATGGGTAACTGATTCTATCTGCAATTATTTATCACCGTTTATGGCCACCTATTTTACAATTATTCTGATAATGATGGGGATACTTTAGACATGTTTTAAAATAAAAAAGTATGACCTCTTAGACGTATACTCCAAAAGTTTTAAGTGAGCTGCAAATCAGCATACTGTTTTTGAACAGATTCTTTTTAAGGTTCCGGGGCTTCTCTTTATGATCCAGGCAGTTTTCAGACTTAGCAGACTCCAGACATCTCCTTAACCCATGCAGGAAAAATGCCAGTCATCTTTATGTGAACAAAATAATCTTTCACTTAAAAACGCAGGAAGAGTATACAAAAAGACTGTAGCTGCATGCAAATACCTCACGTTACAACATTCACAAGATAAAATAATGGTCTCTCATTTCAAATCTCTTAATCAGTCCAATGGAAATTAAGACATGAGCACAATAATCTGTATTGTAAGTATATTATGTACCTAAATGTGAACAAAATCTGATGTTATTTTCTGTTCATTTTGCAGAATACTGTAAAGCTGCCATTTTCAGAAACCCCAATTATCCCCTCATTTTGATTTCTAAAATATAATTCTCCCTCCTCTCTCTCTACCCCCTCTGTTCTCTTCTTCCCTTCCAACTTCTTACTCCTCCCACTTCATTCTCCACGACATCTTCAGTGCTGTTCTCAATCATATATGTATAATACATATAGTATGCACATATATAAAATACATGTTACACATGTATATATTATACATTTAAGTGCAAAACTCAACTTAACTTTAATTATGGAGCTAGAACTGGCTCCATAATAACTGGCTTGATTTGCAGAGGTGCTGAGTACCCAGTGACTCCCAAGCTGGGGAGGCACAGCACTTCTGAAAAAGAGGTGACATATGTATATTTATCATTTTAAACTCTAAAACCCATTTCTTGCGCCCCTGCCATTAGACTCCTGTTGGCTTGAGTCAATCCTTCCAAAGGCTAGGCTTCCAGTCAGTGACTGACAGTAAGTGCAGCCTCCAACAGTACACCGAGGGTGGTCTGCATCTGTAACAGTGGAAAACTAAGACCAGACAGAACCAGAAGAATGGTCTTTTTCTCTGCCTGGTTTGTATTTTTTTTTTTTAAAGAAATGTATAGGCTGCTCAAAAAACCAAACAAACACACAGCATCACTAAACTAAACACATCCATCATGTTACCATGGAAATCTGCCCAAATCAAATGAATGATGTCAGGCCTGATTTTATTGTAATCAGCTAATTCCCTTTTACCACTTCCATTCAAGTATTTTCATGCTGTCTGATCTGTATAGTCATCTACACAATTTGTATAGTTTAAATTTATACCGGTCACTTAATGTAACCTGCAATACGCACATAACAGTTCTGGTATCCTACATGAATTATGGTATTGAATGACAACTTTTATTTAAAAAGGATTTTGAGAGAAAGAGAGAAAATATTACAAACATTAATAAAACTTCTTGATGAATGACATGTTAGTCCCATAATTCTTTATGGAAATAACATTACCCACCACATCTGAACATTTTCTCATTACTGTGATCAAAAATCAAAATACTGTAAAATATTAAATAAGAGTTACAGTTTTAGAGCAAAGAAATTGAAAAATTTGTAATTGTAATTTTTCCTGATAGGTAAATTTAGCTGTTTGCAGCAGTTTGAGTTGCTTCTGTATTTCCTAGTTATTAATAATGATACTATCTCTAATACTGATTTAAAAGAGAAAGACACCAAATTTTTTAAAATAAATTTTGATGATATCATGTAACATATAGAGATACAAGTTACTTTTAAAGAATAACCAGAACAGTAACCACCACTTTATTTGGGGGTTTAGGAACAGTCAGTGTCATCCATTAAAACTACTTTGAAATATTGCGTATAGTAGACATTTCTTCTTGGCTTTTGCTCTTTATGAGTCTATCCAGCAGGTGGCTTTGATCCTCTTTCTGCTGGTAGATAAACATATCAACTAAAGTTTTTTTATCAGAAGTGATCATCAGTGCTGCAGTAGGAAGTTGGTAGCTACATTAAGGTCATTATTTGAAGCTCTCAGAGCTTCCAAAGCATCTACCCTGGAAAATCCCATTTCCATAAGTCGTGCAACCTGTAAGAGAAATAAAAAAGAACACCTTTAATCACAGTTTTATTCATTTTTCCTTTTAAAGTTATCATATAGCAGCAAAACCGTACGGTTTATTACTGAACAGTCTGTGCAATGACAGGTCTTTTTTTTTTAAATATCAAACACTTATCTGATATGGCGTGGTTGGATGAGCCAGAAAACATTACTGCAGTTGATAAAATACAGTTTGCAATAAAACAGTAATTCCAGTGGTGAGTAGGTACTTGAGAAGCATCTTTCACGTGCTACAATATAATTTTGATGGCTAACTTTTTGCATGCCAACTTTCTTTTATACATGCTGACTCAAACAGCACTGCATTTAAATCCAGTTTTGTTTTATGTTATAACACAGTGTGATAGATTCAATACCTAGATGGATAAATCATACCAGTTTCAAGCTGGAGGAACTGTAAAATCTACATTTTTTAATTGGGTTTAGTTATAAGTGAAAATCTGACTGATTTCTTTTGAAATAGTTTTATTTTTATTCCAATCACAGCTGACAGTAAACTAAAATTTCTGGCAAAATTCACCAAATGGTCATGGCAGCAGAAGCACTCACTATTACGCTCTTACTGGGGGATAAGGCCTGAAACCAGACAGCATAGCCCCAGAAGTGGGAAGCCACGAGCAGGCTGGGAGATACTTTGATTCCTCCTCCACTGGCAGGTCCCTATGGAGCCTGCATTGAAGATTAAAACTGCCCTTCCCCAAAAGGAAACATTGAGAGATGGGTAGGTATCAGTGCAACTGCCTGTTCCCTCTAGGGCACAGCAGCAAATATGCATTTTCCTGCATCACAAGACTAATAGATTTCCAAGGGACATTGTGGTCCCTAGTCTGACCGCATGTGTAACACAGGCCACAGAACTTCCCCAAAATAATTCCTTTTTAACTAGAGCATATCTTAACAAAAAAAATCCAATCTTGATTTTAAAATTGCCAGTGATAAAGAATCCATCATGACCCTTGGTAAGTTTTTCCAATCGTTAATTACCCTCATTTTAAATATTTATGTCTTATTTCTAGTCTGAATTTGTCTTACTTCAACTTCCAGCCATTGGAGTTTGTTATACAGTTCTGTTGGACTGAAGAGGTCTTTATCAAATATTTGTATCCAGTCACTGCTTAACTTTCTCTTTGTTAAATTAAATAGATGGAGCTCCTAGAATCTATCTATCACCAACTAATCCTTTAACCATTCTTATGGCTCTTCTCTGAATCCCTCCAATTTATCAACCTCCTTCTTGAATTGTGGGCACAAGAACTGCACACTGTATTTCAACAGCAGTCACCACAGTGCCAAATACAGAGGTAAAATAACCTCTTTCCTCCTACTTGAGATTCCTCTGCTTATGCATCCAACAATCACATTAAGCCCTCTGGCCACAACGTTGCACTGGGAGCTCATGTTCAGCTGCTTATCCACCACGACTCCCCAATTTTTTCAGAGTTACTGCTTCCCAGAATAAAGACCCACCATCATGGTAATATGGCCTACATTCTTTGTTCCTAGATGTGTATTTTTTACATTTAGCCATATTAAAATGCAAATTATTTGCTTGCGCCCAGTTTACCAAGTTATCCAGACCTGTCCTCTTCATTATTTATCACTTCCCGAACCTTTATGCTGTCTGAAAACTTTATCAGTGGTGATTTTATGTTTTCTTCCAGGTCATTGATAAAAACGTTAAATAGTGTAAATAGAGTGAATCTAGCATTTGTATCTGGAAATGCAGACTGTGCATATTCTGAACATAATTTTGACTGGATGTTGGCAAGAAAGCTGCATTTTGTTTTTTTGGCAGTACTTTCAGTATTGTAACATTTATCCTGGATTTCAAAAATATTTTTCTCTGATTTAATCTATGCATATATTACTAAAGGTTTTGAAAACTAATAAATTGTCAGGTTGTCAAATAGGTCACTGATAATTTTTGTGTGAGTGTCCCTTTTAAATGCAACATTTATGTCTCATCTTTATGGGAAGAATGAATTATGCTACTTTTGACATCTCTGCAACAATAGTCTCACATCAAACTAGATTTCATAACCAGCAGCATCTAAAAGTCCCTGTGTGGGGAATGGTGACCAAATAGCAAGTGTGAAAAATTATAATACTTTTTTTCCTCCTAGATGGGGGGGGGATAGCTGCCTATATAAGAAAAAACCTGTAATATCGATCAGGAAGGGATAATATCAGGACGTCTGGACAGGGCCAGCCCACAACATTTTGGCACCTGAGGCGGGGAGCTCAAATGATGCCCCCATGCCCCCTCGCGTGGGCCAAAACTTTGAAAGGTCCCAATTCTGACTTCTTCCTGTTCTACTCCTCTCCTGGTACTGCTCTGCTACCTACCCCAATAAAGGAGAACTAGCAATTTAAAATGCCTTGTTCAAAAATGTTAAGTAACACTTAACTTTTAAAAGCCTGAACAGCAAATGTAACTTTTCTTGTCTGCATAGTAAACACTGGCATTTTTATCTGTTTGAATAATCGAAGTGGTGCTTTCTGTGCCTTCTTGGTTGCAAAGATTTGAACTGCTTCCTGAAGGTCATGCTCTATTGAGATGGTTGCAAGGCCGACCAACCTCTCCTGTGTCATTGTGGAGCATAGATGTGTTTTTATTAGCAGTTTCTCCAAGCTGAAGTTTTCTCCACTGGCAACTGTTACAGGAAGTGTTAGAAGTATGTGCAGAGCAACAAAAGCATTTGGAAAGAGGGCGGTCATCTTATTTGTGCACATATATTCCAGAACAACCTTTGGAGTTGATCTCGCCTACATGTATCTTGAAAGGGCTTTCAGTTCATCCCCTAAACCACTTGCATCAATATTGTGCATGTCATCATGTGTCAACACTGTCTCTAGTCCGTGCATTGCTGGTGTAGGTCTTTTTCAGGTATAGTGAGGAGTTTTGGAATATTATACAACATCCCAAATATACTGCTGTGTTCCTTGAGCTGCTCGAAACGTTCTTCAACTGACTGTATTGCACTATCTAGCACCTGGTTAAAGAATTCAACTTTGAATTGTTGTTTGGGGTCTCTTATGGAATTATCCCATGCCTCGTAATCAAAATGTCTTCTTCTTTGGTGACTCTTGTATTCTTGAATGGGTGGGAAAATAGCTTCAGTGTGAAGTTCCTCTGCCAACCTCTGTGCACTCTTCAGAACGTTTGGAAATCCCTCATCTGACTGGTAAGACTGTAGGTATGACTTTGCTTTGTACAGTTGTTCCATTGCTCCAGATATATCAAGGTCAACACCATGGAATCTCTTGCTTACAACATTTATTTCAAACAGCATGTCATGCCACAACACTAAGCCACACAGAATTTTGAAGTTATGTATGTTTCTGGTGATTCCATTTCCCTCTGCCACTGTTCTGCCACAAACAGTTCCTGTCATAGCATTATCCTTCATAATGGCAACTATGGCATCATCTATCTTCCCAATTTGGTGTTTGATAGGCTTTATCGCCTCCACTTGACTTCCCCATTGTGTGGCCCTCAGCGGTTTCAGTGTCAGAGAGGATGTTCCCAGATGTTGCTTCAAAGTTTGCCGTCGATGAGTTGATGCAGAGAAAAACACACAGATGCTTTGAATTACATTAAAAAATTCAGCAGCCTCACTAGAAGCTGATGCTGCATCACTGACCATCAAGTTCAATGAATGAGAACTGTATGGGACAAAAAAAGCTCGAGGGTTTAACTCTCTGATCCGTGTCTGCACTCCTCTGTTCTTTCCTCTCATGTTGGCACCATCATCGTAGACCTGACTTCTTATGTCAGCTATCGCAATTCCCGTATCTTCCAGCTTTTTAAGAAGCACATTTGTCATACCAGCTCCTGTAGTATCATCAATGTCAATAAATTCTCAAAAATGCTCTCTGACAGTCACCACTGCAGGGACATTTTCACTAGGTTCTGGTGTTGTTACAAAACGCACCATTAAAATCATTTGTTCCGTATGGCTGATGTCAGGAGTGCAATCCAGAATAACAGAGTAATATCTTGCTGACTTCAGATCTGCCACAATCTTTTGTTTGACTTTTGTTGCCAGTAACTGTATGATCTCATTTTGAATTGTTTTTCCAAGGTAGTGGTGTGTGTACATTTCTTTGGTGGTTTCAGAGTAACAGCCATGTTACTCTGTATTCGCAAAAAGAAAAGGAGTACTTGTGGCACCTTAGAGACTAACCAATTTATTTGAGCATAAGCTTTCGTGAGCTACAGCTCACTTCATCGGATACATACTGCGGAAAATACAGAAGATGTTCTTATACATACAAACCATGAAAAAATGGGTGTTTACCACTACAAAAGGTTTTCTCTCCCCCCACCCCACTCTCCTGCTGGTAATAGCTTATCTAAAGTGAGCACTCTCCTTACAATGTGTATGATAATCAAGTTGGGCCATTTCCAGCACAAATCCAGGTTTTCTCCCCCCCCTCCTTTTTTTCCACACACACAAACCCACTCTCCTGTTGGTAATAGCTTATCTAAAGTGATCACTCTCCTTACAGTGTGTATGATAATGTTGCCGGCACCCAGTGCCGAGAGGCTAAGCAACTGCTGGAGTTGGTTCGCTACCCGGTGTGCTACACCCAATAATCACAACGGGGTGGAGAAGCAGAAAAGTTTATTTGCAGCTGCAAAAGGGTACAGGGAGAATAAGATCTCAAATCCCGCACACAGAGCAGGAAGTTACACAGGCTTTTATACATCCTTTTTTCCAGCTTACTTATCCAAAAGCAAGCGGCCCAAAGTATCCATATAGCCAGCCAATCCAGTTCCCAGCTAGTTCCCTTGTTCTCTGTATCATTTGTTAAACCATACATAAAACTGCTTTATTCAGCATTTTCCTTCCATATCTGCCCTGTTTGGCCTTGTTTAGTTTCAGGCAGTCTGACTCTGCAACATATATATGCTTCATCGACACTCGTTGTCTTCCATCCCCTCGAGTTACCTAGTGGCCATGCCCCAGTGTCCCCAACAACTATCAAGGTGGGCCATTTCCAGCACAAATCCAGGTCCCCCCCCCCTTTTTTTTTTCCACACACACAAACCCACTTTCCTGTTGGTAATAGCTTATCTAAAGTGATCACTCTCCTTACAATGTGTATGATAATCAAGGTGGGCCATTTCCAGCACAAATCCAGGGTTTAACAAGAACGTCTGAGGAACGGGGGTGGTGGGGTAGATAGGAAAAAACAAGGGGAAATAGGTTACCTTGCATAATGATTTAGCCACTCCCAGTCTCTATTCAAGCCTAAGTTAATTGTATCCAATTTGCAAATGAATTCCGATTCAACAGTCTCTCGCTGGAGTCTGTCCTGTAGTAGGTGACTTCTGGGAACTCTTCTGGCTCTATCAATCTGTTTCTTCACTTCCGCAGATGGGTATTGTAGTTGTAAGAATGCTTGATAGAGATCTTGTAGATGTTTGTCTCTGTCTGAGGGGTTGGAGCAAATGCGGTTGTATCGCAGAGCTTGGCTGTAGACATGGATCGTGTGGTGTGGTCAGGGTGAAAGCTGGAGGCATGTAGGTAGGAATAGCGGTCAACAGGTTTCCGGTATAGGGTGGTGTTTATGTGACCATCGTTTATTAGCACTGTAGTGTCCAGGAAGTGGATCTCTTGTGTGGACTGGACCAGGCTGAGGTTGATGGTGGGATGGAAATTGTTGAAATCATGGTGGAATTCCTCAAAGGCTTCTTTTCCATGGGTCCAGATGATGAAGATGTCATCAATATAGCGCAAGTAGAGTAGGGGCGTTAGGGGACGAGAGCTGAGGAAGCGTTGTTCTAAGTCAGCCATAAAAATGTTGGCATACTGTGGGGCCATTCGGGTACCCATAGCAGTGCCGCTGATTTGAAGGTATACATTGTCCCCAAATGTAAAATAGTTATGGGTAAGGACAAAGTCACAAAGTTCAGCCACCAGGTTAGCCGTGACATTATCGGGGATAGTGTTCTTGACGGCTTGTAGTCCATCTTTGTGTGGAATGTTGGTGTAGAGGGCTTCTACAACCATAGTGGCCAGGATGGTGTTATCAGGAAGATCACCGATGGATTGTAGTTTCCTCAGGAAGTCAGTGGTGTCTCGACTCTTCTTAGATGCTCCTGGAGTATAGCATCAGCATATACAGCTGATCTGAAGTGCTGCGCAGTGCTAGGTTTTGGGTAGCAAGCATTCTCACAATGGCAATGAGCCTTTTCAGAACATTTTGCCAGTAAAGAGACTGATGCAATCTTCTCTTGATGCTGATCATCTATGGTGGCCTTTAACCTTAGTCTCATCTCAGGCTCTTTCCACCTATGGAATGCTCTCTGGTGATTTGCTGCCTTCTCATGGCATGCCAGATTTCTAGCCAGATTTTTCCAGTCCTTTGTTCCTATAGAACCCAATGTGGCTGGAATATTAGACTGGAAGAGTTTGCCACAAAAACAGTATGCAGCATTCTGAGTTTTTGAGTACATAAGCCATGGCCTCTCACTTTGTCACCATTGGGGATTTCACGCCAGTAATGTGTTGGATGGAAACTTCTATTTTCATTGTCTTTGGGGAACATGAAGTTTTTCATTTGCTGTAGCCCATGCAGGACAAGGAAGTCCCTCAGGCTACTGCTCAAGTGGGTCCACAGTCCTGGATCATCTAGACTTACGGAACTAAACTCAGCAGCAGCTGTTTCTTGCACCTCCACCACACTCTCTCTGATCTACACTTTTCTTCAGGAATGTGCATGGTTACATCCATTGGAGATGGAGATGTGGATGGTGCAGTAGCTGCACAACTGCACTCTGGCTAACTGGAAGATCAGGCATCTCCTCACCACTCACATCCTCACTGGGGTCGGAAGGCTCACCGTGAACATTTGTGTCTATATATCTCAGGAGAGCTCCTTCCTGCTTAGATAGAAAAGCTTCCTTTGCTTGCTTTCTTTGTCTGAATGCTGCCCCAGAGGGTCATTTTTTTCTTTCACTCATGACTGCTGTTCTGTGCCAGCTATAGTGGCTCTCAATGCTCAGTTGAAGGGGACAAATAAGCAGGCTGGTAGCAGGGCCTGAGTGAGGGAAAATATCAGCGTCTTAAGGCCCTAACTGGCTCCTACTAATTCAGTTGACTGCCTGTTCTCCTCAAGAGGGCTCAGGGAAGCAGCAGGAAACAGGAAACTCCCAGAGAAGCTAGTGTTAATCAGTCCAGGCTCCTGGGGGTGCTAGAGAGGTACATAAGAGGCTCCTCCTCCTCTCTCTCTCCCTCCCTGCAGCTCCTGCTGCTTTCTGTTATTCCCTCTCACCTTTTCTCCTGCCTGCCTGTTACGTCTCTTGTGCCCTCCTTCCTCCAGCACAGCTCTCCACCATCTCTGTGCATCTAGAGCAGAGAGAATACATATGCACCAGCAGCAGACACAATTTTCTACACTCCGGGTCCTAGTGGCGCCCCCACCCCACAGTCTGGCACCTGAGGCGGCTGCCTCAGTTCGCCTCATCATAAGGCCAGCCCTGCATCTGGTCACCCTAGATGGGGTTTACCAGGTCTTCGTGATCCCCTGCTGGAGGACCCACTGCTCTACTACATCCCACCCCAGGAAAAAGCTTTCTGAGAGGAAAAGGGAAACGATCATTAGACCTCTGGGCATAGGCACCAACTTTTAGTTTTCCCAGGAAGTGCTCCACCCCTGCTCTGCCCTGAGGCCCTGCCCCTTGCTCCTACCTTGCTCCTTCCCCCAAAGCCTTGCCTTCTCTCTGTCTCTTCCCACCCCACTCTCCCGAGTCCCCAACCTCACTCCGGCTCCCACCCCCTGCCCTTACTCCACTGATGTCCATTCCAATTAGGTGTTCGCACGTTGCGTGCACAGATGTCGGAAACTTTTTCCCTTAGCAGCTCCTGTCAGGAGGGCAGGGGAACCCCCTAGAGAGGCGCCCTTATGGCAGTGTGTATATTGTACCCTGCTGGCCCAACCCTCCTTCGGTTCCTTCTTGCCGTTGACTCAGACAGAGGGGGAGGGGTATGGGTATTGTAGTAGACATGAACAACACATCTCGAAGAACAACAATTACGAGAGGTAAGTAACCATCTTTTCTTCTTCAAGTGCTTATTCATGTCCATTGCAATTAGGTGACTTCCAGGCTTACCATCAGAGGTGGGTAGGAGTCATGGAACAATTGATTGGAGGACAGCCCTGCCAACTGCTGCATCATCTCTGGCCTGCTGGTTGATGGCATAATGGGCTGTGAATGTATGCACTGAAGACCAGGTAGCTGCCTTGCAGATCTCATGGATGGGGCCTGCACCAGAAAGGCAGTCGAAGACGCTTGCGCTCTGGTCAAATGGGCCATGATTGCTGGGGCTGGGACCTTGGCCAACTCATAGCACATGCGAACGCAGTCTGTGATCCAGGGCGATATGCGTTGCACAGAAATTGGAAGGCCCGTCATTCTACTGGCTATGGCCACGAACAATTGGGTTGATTTGTGGAAAGATCTCGTGCACTCTATGTAGAATGTAAAGGCTCTTCGAACATCCAGCATGTGTAAGCTGTGGTGCTATGGGCTTGTATGGGGCTTTGGAAAGAACACTGGCAGACAAATATCCTGTCCCATGTGGAATTGGGAGACCAGTTTGGGGAGAAATTTAGGGTGCAGTCTAAGCTGCACCTTGTCCTTATGAAACACCATGTAAGGGGGTTCAGAGGTGAGAGCTCTCAGCTCAGAGACCCTCCTTTCCGACGTAATGGCCACCAGGAACGCTACCTTCCATGAAAGGTAGAGGAGGAAACAAGTGGCCAGGGGTTCGAATGGTGGGCTCATGAGTTTGGAGAGGACCAGGTTCAGATTCCAGGTTGGGACTGGAAGACGAGAATATGGGTACACCCTCCAGTCCCTTAAGGAAGCGCACCACCATGGGATTTGAGAACACCGAATGCCCAGATTCCCTTGGATGGAAAGCTGAGATAGCTGCCAGGTGCACTCTGATACACGAAAGAGACAAGCCTTGTTGCTTGAGGTGTAGCAGGTAGTCCAGAACAAATCGGGATAGAAACCTGGAGCGGTGGAATACGTTTGGGTTCACACCAGCAGGAGAACTTTTTCCACTTTGCCAGATATGTTGCCCTGGTAGAAGGTTTCCTATTACCAAGGAGAATCTGTCTCACTGGCTGAGAGCACTGGCTCTCCATGGGATTTAGCCATGGAGTTTCCAAGCCATGATGTGCAGAGACTGTAGGTTCGGGTGGAGAAGGCACCCATGGTCCTGTGTGATCAGATCTGGGTAGAGGGGCAGGACTATCGGTGCGTCTTCAGACAGCTCTAGGAGAGTCATGTACCAATGCTGCCACAGCCAAGACGGGGCAATCATGATTACCATCACCCTCTCCCTGAGAATTTTGAGCAGGACCTGGTGGACCAGCAGGATTGTAGGGAAGGCATACTTCAGCCCCTCGCCCCACAGTATTAAGAACACGTCAGAAATTGAACCCAGGCTGTGGTTTTGAAATGAGCAGAACTGAGGGCACCGTCTGTTGTCTTTGGTGGCAAAGAGATCTACTTGGGGATAACACCACCTTTGGAAAACTGACTGTATGATGTCTGATCTGATTGACCACTCGTGAGCCTCATAGGAGCTGCTGAGGTGATCTGCCAGCTCGTTCTGTACCCCGGGGTGGTAGGATGCTTCCAGCTGAATGGACCGGGATATACAGAAGTCCCAGAGGAGAAGGGTCTCGTGGCAGAGGGGTGAGGAGCGAGCTCCGCCCTTTTTGTTTATGTAGAACATGGCAGTGGTGTTGTCTGTCAGGACTCTCACGCTGTGACCTTGCAAAGTGGTGTGAAAGGTTTGACAGGCCAGACGAACCGCTCCAAGCTCCTTCAGGTTGATACGGACGGGTATCTCGTCTTGCGACCACAGACGCTGTGTTCTCAGATCCCCTAAGTGTGCATCCCAGCCCAGATCTGATGTGTCCGTTATTAGCGTCAGAGAAGGAGGGGGCGCAGCAAAGGGGACTTCTGCACAGACTACTGGTCAGTCCAGCCACCAACACAGGGACTCTCGGACCTGCCCGGGTATTGTTACTATCAGGTTCAGGGGGGGGGTCTCAGGACGGGCAGTAACATGCTGCGAGCCATGCCCATATGGGCCTGAACCTCAGTCTGGCATGCTTGACCATGGATGTACAGGCTGCCATATGTGCTATTAGCTAATTCCTGACAGTCGTGGTGGGGTATTGTAACATTGTCCTGACAATTTGCTCTATGGCTTGAAATCTGGGCTCTGGAAGGCTCGCTTTCACCTGTACTGAGTCCAGGACCGCCCCTCTGAACGCTATCCTTTGGGTAGGTATGAGTGATCACTTGTGTATGTTGAGGAGGAGCCCCAGTCTGTGAAAGGTGACAGTTGTCACTTGGGACTGTACCTGGTCCATGGATCGTCCTGTCAGTAGCCAGTCGTCGAGGTACAGGTACACTCAAATTTGCCTTTTTCGCAGGAAGGCCACCACCACCGCCATGCAGTTGGTGAACACGCGGGGGGCTAAGGACAGACTGAACGGGAGCACCGTGAACAGGTAGTGCTCTTGGTTTATTACAAACCGGAGGAAGCATCTGTGTGCCGGATGGATGGCAATGTGGAAATAGGCATCCTTCATGTTGAGGTCAGCGTACCAATCTCCTGGATTCAGTGACGGGATGAAAGTGCTTAGGGAGACCATGTGGAACCGGAGCTTGACCATAAATTTGTTGAGTCTGTGAAGGTCAAGAATGGGTCGGAGACCCCCCTTTGCCTTGGGAATTAGGAAGTAACGGGAGTAAAATCCCTTTTCCCTTAGATCCTGGGGAACCTTCTCCACTGCCCCATCTCGAGGAGTGAACAGACCTCCTGCATAAGTAAGTTGCTTGTGAGAGAGGTCCCTGAAGAGGGACGGGGAAGGAGGAGAACTGGAGGGAGTATCCCACCTGTATCGTGCGTAGGACTGAGCGGTCCGATGTTATACAGGACCATGCACGGTAGAAGTGGGATAGCCGGTTTAAAAACCAGGGGGATAGATCCTGGAACTGGGTTGGTAGGCTGTCCTCGAGTGTGCCTTCAAAACCCTTGCTTGTTCCCTGGCTGGGGTTTATTCTGGTCTTGGTCAGGCATGTTATTTGACAGCCTACACCTAGTATTTCTGTCCTGTCTGTGACATGGGTTGTGCCTGGGGTGAGGTTGGTACTGCCTCTGCTGCAGAGGCTGGGGCCTGAAGGGCTTCCTCTGGTTTGCTGGTGTATGCATCCCTAGAGATTTCAGCGTGGCCCTAGAATCCTTAAGGCTGTGTTGCCTGGAGTCAGTTTGCTCCGAAAAGAGGCCCAAGCCCTCCAAGGGTAGGTCTTGCAGGGTGTTTTGGATCTTGGGGGGAGGCCAGACACCTGTAACCACGCTGAACACCGCATGACCACTCCTGAGGCTATGGTTCTGGCCGCAAAGTCAGAGTAGGGGTAGGAGTAGGGTGGCAGAACAAGAACTCGAAGCCCTTGGATGGGGCGAAGTATTTTCTTTCCACCCCCCTGGCCGTTGGTGTGATGGAGGCCGGGGTTTCCCAGATTGTATTGTAGTTGCTCTGTATGGTCTTTATCAGAGGGAGCGCAACTCTGGAGGGACCTCCAGGAGCCAGGATGTCCACCATCGGATCCTCCTGCTCGACAGTTTCCTCCACCTGGAGGCCCATGTTGAGGGCAATCCTGCGGAGAAGCTCTTGGTGGGCCCTATGGTTGATCAGTGGCGGTCCTGAAACTGATGTACCCGCCACCGCTTCGTCTGGGGAAGAGGAGGACGTGAGCTGCTGTTGGTTGCCCTTGTCCTGACCTTCCTGTAAGTCCTCATGGTCCTGGGCTGCGTCAGGGCCCAACGAGGCTGCCACCTCCTGAGATGTTACCTGTCTTGGTAACAGCGCGAGCACTGGACCTGTCACTGTCAGCTGCTCTTGGGGATCCGAGGGCGGTCTAGAGAGTGTGGCCTCTCTCACCCTCAAGGTGTGCCTATATGGTGACCTAGAGTGGCGTCGCGTAGAGTGCCCAGACCTAGACGCTCTAGAAAGAGTGCCCTGTTGTTGATGATAGGCCCATGGGGTCCAGAAAGGCCACTGTCCTGGAGGTGGCCACTGTGGCTGCCACACTGTGTGGGACACTCTGCTGCTCACGGTCTGGTGCCTGATGTAATTAGAGCGACTGGAGTTGGCTTCGGAGCCGGAGGATGCCGACGGAGAGGACCAAGGCAGTGCCGATCCTTGAGCAGCCACAGGATGCCATGAGGTGCGAGTTGGGGACTGGTGCCAAGATGATTGGGACTGCGAACAGTACAAGGTGTCCCAGGACCGAGGTCTCTCATGTGGTGCTGGGGAGGTAGTTGGCACTGTGCTCCGGTGCTGGGCGACTGCCGGCATCATGGAACGGTGCCTAGTCGCTGACGAGGGTGCCGTGGGTACGTCGGCCTCCAGTGCCGTAACGTTGCTTTGGGTCGTGGGTGCCGGGAAGTGGCGTTACGCCGAGCTTGAACGGGAACGGTGCTGTGAGCAGTGCTGTATCGGTGACCTTGAGTGGCACACCATTGCTGGTTTCCCTCTGGACGGCACCTGCCTGGGTGGTGCTGGAGGCTTCTCCCTGCATGGGAGGGGATTTGGCGCCGACAGCTCGATGACGTTCTTCGCTGCCTCAAATGTATCAGGAATGGAGGGGTGTTCCAGGACCTCCTCCAGCCACTCATTGGCACTGAAGTCGCTGGACACCAGATTCAACGGGGTTGTGGTGCCAGAGTCGACGGTGCCCGTTCCTGGTGGGGGCCCGCATCCTGTTTTTGCATGCCAGGAGCCTCTCTAAGCATCTTGGTTGCTCTTTGAGGGGAGTGCCCTCTTTCCCCCTTCTTATGACACTTAGCCGGTGCTGGAGAGGTTGAGCGGTTGGTTGGCATGCCTTGGTGCCGGTGATTTGCGGTGTCAGATCACGCATCGATGCCAGGACACTTCTGACCAAGGAACCCGGGCCTGGTACCAGGCGGTCTGGGCCCACTGGTTGCAGCGCGGCCTCCATGAGCAGCTGCTTAAGATGAAAGTCTCTTAGTGTGTGGCTTGAAGGCCTTGCAGATTTTGCAGTGCTCAGCCTGATGCACCACTCCCAGACACCAGAGACAGGAGTCGTGGGGGTCGCTGTTAGGCATAGACGTGTGGCAAGTGGCGCAAGCTTTCAAATCCTGGGCTTGCGGCATTCCCTGCAGCCCAAGGCTGGTGCTGGAACTAACTCCCAGACACCTAAAACTACAAACTGTATCTAACTAACTTGATAACTATCTAAGAACAACTCTAACTAGAAAAACCAAATTAGCTAAGGGATAACTCGCAAGTGAGAGAGAGAAAGTTCCAGCGCCGTCAGGGACGGTAAGAAGGAACTGAAGGGGGGTTGGGCCAGCAGGGTACTATATACAATGCCATAAGGGCGCCACTCTAGGGGACTCCCACCGTCCCGATGGGAGCAGCTAAGGGAAAAAGTTTCCAAAGTCTGTGCACGTGACACACGCACACCTAATTGGAATGGACATGAACAAGCACTCCAAGAACATAGCAATTTCTGTCTTATTTTAATGAAACAGAACTGTATTTACTGAGTTTTATACTGCACATGTGTAGCCATTCACAGCTGGCATAAAATTTTTATTTGTGTTATGTGGCTTGATGTGTATACATGACGGCATGTGGAAATTTTAGAGGGCAAGCTCAATGAAGGAGAATCAAAACTTCCCTAATAATAGCTCCACCCATATTCAACATGAATAATGCGAACCAATTGCTATTCTCCATTTGTTTATCATATTTGAATAGTAAAACTAGCTGGTTGTTTTTTAAAAAAAGCTATATACAAAGCCAGAAATTCTAAAATAAATTTGCAGCTCTAATCCCATAAACGCAATTGCATTAGTTCAATCTGTCTTTATGTTGTAACTGTCATTTAGTATTCTCGTTTGAGCTACCAACATATTAACTGTATAGAGGGTTACCACAGTATAATGTTACAGATTATGATAAATGGTACATGTAGCCAACCCCTCATCCATTTAAATTATGTTTTAAAATACAAAAATATTTACCTGTTCCTCAGAAACCTCAGCAGGTGGAGGTGCCTCTTGCTCAGACTGGCGATTATCTTGATAATTTGCATGATGTCTACGACGTAAAGGAGGAAAGAGTCGATTCCAGTTAATCACCCTGCCCTGAAACCAGATATTTATTATTATTAGTCCTTTAACCCAAAAAGGATATAAAAAACTGACAGTTTTGTATCAATTGTATTGAATAAAATGTTTATTTCAAACAATAACTTCTATAATATCATAGTCTTTAATAATTACAGTACTCAAAAGGGTATATTTTCTTGCTTTACTAATTAATCAAAATGTTTCTGCTACATTAAGGAAACATATACTAATAAATAGGAGCTATCTGTTGTATTTATTTCCTGTTTAAGGCTCATGTTAGTGTTCCATATGTGTTGAAGGAACTGCAGCCCACCACCATGAAGGAGAGCAACTCTGAGTTCTGGTCTCTTGTTCCCCAAGTAAACAGAGGTTTGACTGCTTCTGTTGCAACAGACATAAAACCTGATCTTTCACTTGCTCTGTGTAGCTGACAGGAGTTCCATGTACTGACTGCAGGATCAAGCCCATAACGTCAAGATGCGTGAGCACTTTGTATTACTTAACAGCAGCTCTGCTCACCGATTAAAGGTTGGAATCGATAACTCTGAAGTCTAGTTCTCCTTGGGCAGAAGGATAGTGGCTGAAATATAGATCATCACAGATGGGAAAGGCAAAAAATGCAGGAGATTAAGGAGGAGGCAATGAGTGGATTTCTCAGGGCACCAACAAAATCACAGAGGTAAACTCAGGATAAAGCCTACTGAGAATGTCTATGATACAGTTGCCATGTAAAAGTTTTCTGTCAAGGTTCCTCCCCCACTCTGAACTCTAGGGTACCGATGTGGGGACCTGCATGAAAAACCTCCTAAGCTTATCTTTACCAGCTTAGGTCAAAACTTCCCCAAGGTACAAAATATTCCACCCTTTGTCCTTGGATTGGCCGCTACCACCACCAAACTAATACTGGTTACTGGGGAAGAGCTGTTTGGATGCGTCTTTCCCCCCAAAATACTTCCCAAAACCTTGCACCCCACTTCCTGGACAAGGTTTGGTAAAAAGCCTCACCAATTTGCCTAGGTGACTACAGACCCAGACCCTTGGATCTTAAGAACAATGAACAATCCTCCCAACACTTGCACCCCCCCTTTCCTGGGAAATGTTGGATAAAAAGCCTCACCAATTTGCATAGGTGACCACAGACCCAAACCCTTGGATCTGAGAACAATGAAAAAGCATTCAGTTTTCTTACAAGAAGACTTTTAATAAAAATAGAAGTAAATAGAAATAAAGAAATCCCCCCTGTAAAATCAGGATGGTAGATACCTTACAGGATAATTAGATTCAAAACATAGAGAACCCCTCTAGGCAAAACCTTAAGTTACAAAAAAGATACACAGACAGAAATAGTTATTCTATTCAGCACAGTTCTTTTCTCAGCCATTTAAAGAAATCATAATCTAACACGTACCTAGCTAGATTACTTACTAAAAGTTCTAAGACTCCATTCCTGGTCTATCCCCGGCCAAGACAGAATATAGACAGACACACAGACCCTTTGTTTCTCTCCCTCCTCCCAGCTTTTGAAAGTATCTTGTCTCCTCATTGGTCATTTTGGTCAGGTGCCAGCGAGGTTACCTTTAGCTTCTTAACCCTTTACAGGTGAGAGGAGCTTTCCCCCGGCCAGGAGGGATTTCAAAGGGGTTTACCCTTCCCTTTATATTTATGACAGATGGGAAAGGCAAAAAATGCAGGAGATTAAGGAGGAGGAGGCAATGAGCGGATTTCTCAGGGCACCAACAAAATCACAGAGGTAAACTCAGGATAAAGCCTACTGAGAATGTCTATGATACAGTTGCCATGTAAAAGTTTTCTACAGCCATCACTGTACTATCTAAGTGCCTGTATAAATCTAATACAGTTGAAATGACTTTGAAAAGATTCTCCTCCTTGCCTAGATTTACTCTATTAAATATCATGTTTCACATTTTGGCATTGTTCCAAAGTAAATGCATTTTGTACAAAGTGTGTTACAAAAACAGAAATTTAATTTAAAATGTAAATGTAACCAAACCACAGAAAAAGAATTGTAAGGGGCTTACTTTTTACAGTATAACGAATACATACAGTAACGTCAAGTGTTATTTACATAATTGCCCAGAGGTAACAGTGATGTATCAGCAAAGTTTTTTTTGACAGATTATGGGTAATATTAGAACCACTGCCCATGAAAAAAACATCTGTTCCTTTACAATCTCTCTGTTTTATGTGTTTTTTCCTGACGCTTGTGTGTCTATAAGGCAGCTTGTTCACCCTCACTCCCCGTGTCTCCCTCCCTCTTCTCTCTCACTATTGTGGAAAGGAGTCCTTCTTCCTTTCAGTTTGTATGGGATCTGGGCTTCCTTCCTGCAGCTGCTCTATTTTGGGCCTAGAACTCTTTCTCAGAAGACCTTCCTCTTAAAAAAAGAGTTATTTTTTTTTCAGCTCTGCTTTTTCCTTTAAGCTTCGTTGGGCTGGGGCAATTAACTTAAAATCTAACCAGAATGTTGCATTAATGCAGTTTTGTTTGTATTTATTTCCTTTAAACGATCAAGGGACAAAAAGACATTGGTGTATTTAACAATGTATTCCAAGAAAAATTGATGTATTGAAGAAGGTTGTCTATGTTACGACATTTTTATTCTATGCATTGGAAATCATAAGGCATCAGACAGTCAAACAATGTGCTAATTTATAAATGTACTGGTCTATCTGACAACTGAAATAAGTGTAGCTGCCTTTCCAACTGAACCTATAGCATCGTTAATTACTTATTTATTCTATTTGGTCTACAAAATCTTCACAAGTTCATGTTATTTGTCAACTGACACTGCAAAGGGACACCCTATCTCTCAGAAATGAGCCTTCTATTTGGCACCCCCAACACACAAAAACAAAGTGTTTTCAATCTTTAAAAAAGCAGTTTCTGTACTAACTATTTAGAGCATCACTTTAGCAACAGACATCTTACTAAACTACGGATGCAGATAATGTAGTAAGAACAGATTCAAGCAGATACCACAGTGACACATTTCCTAGAAATACCTACATCAGATCAGATAAGTAATTTTTCACAGCTTTAAATTGCCTTTAAATCATTTCACTGGCCTTTGGATCTAGGTGCCATTACCCCAGTATTCTTTATTAATTATAGGGAATATCATAAATGCAGCAATAATACGATCAGGCAAATCTGGAAAGTGTTTAAGGTTTAGCACTATATAAAAAGCTGAGAATTTAACTAAATCCAGCCCCAGAGCAGGTAGGATGGAAAAATCATCATGAAGTCAAGTAATCCCACATATGCCAGTTTTTAAAAATAGACAAAAAGGGGAGGAAAAAAAAAAAGAGACTACTGCCAAGCCTTGCCTTACAGGAAATCATTTTCAGACCCTCCCCCTGCATTCATACACAGTTTTATGGCAAATGTTAAATTGCAGTGTATTTTATGTCCCCTAACATACTTAATATGCAAATATCCAGGTACACTTCAGAGGAATATCTGCACTATGGTCGACTGACCTGACTGAATGGAGCGTCTCATCTTTTAAAGGGTCATCTATTATTAGCACATAATTTCTATGCAAAAGGAGCATATTTCATTGTAGATTTGCAATTGGCCTCTCCGCCACTCTCATTGACAGTGACATCTGTTCCAAGCTGTCTGGTGACATCCAAGCAGAGCTTGTGAATTGGCTGTTTATTATGTGAACTAAATTCAAATTTAATGATAAATAAGGGAGAACGTAAGAGGTTTCAGACCAGGCAATTCTAACCGTGCCACACCGCTCACACCCAGAGTCAATCCCAACAACTTTTTGAGATCTCCAGGTATCTTGGGCAATGGTGATCTCAAGACTGTCCCTAGGAAGATGTATGTGAAATCTCCCCCTGCCTTTCCCCATTCATGGTTCTCGAAAGCGGCTGCTGCTCGTGTTTTCTACGGGGGAGATGGGACTACCAGCTTGTGCCTCCTTTCTTAGCTCCGGTTTTAGTGCTCTACTTTATCAGTGGATGGAAGTCATGAAAGAATTACTGGAAGGAAGGAAACTTTCCCTTTGACCTCCCTACTTGTGCACCCTATTCCTCCAAGAGTCGTGGGATGGCTTTTTTTCCAATCTGGGTCTCGAAGCAGCAGAAAGTTTGTCACAGTGAGTAGGCAGGATGTCACCATCAGCTTCCAAACACTGGTTCCTAGAATTGGAACCCCCTCTCTCTTAGGGTTGACCTGCATTATTTAGAAACTGTTTTAAAGTAAGGGCTTGCTTCTTAGGCCACAGCAGAGAAGACAATTAAGTTGCATTACCATTAAAAATCAATGTTAGGGCAGAAATGATCAAGTTGCTGACAGTGCCTTCCCCACCACAGTCTCGTAGCTGGGAGAGGTTTTGTCTAGGCCAGCAGGGGAAAGTAAACACTTGGACACTTTAAGGAATGCACACACCCTGCTCATGGCACTCAGCCTCCTCACAGGTTTGAGGAGGGGAGCTCCTTGGCTGATTGGTTGGATAGAGAGATGCAGCAAAAGTCTAACGGCTCCACAAACAAGGGGAGGTCTTATGAACCCTTCTTCATGCCCAGGACACCATTCCTCCTCCTTCTGCCCACTGGGATTAGAATAGGGGTGGGTTTGGGGGCCTTGCTGTGAGCATCGTGCTAGTTACCCTTTGGGGGCAGGGAAGGAATTTTTTTCTCACTGCCAGATTGACCTGGGCAGTGTGGGTTGGTTTTTTCCTTTCTCTCAGCACCCCAGGGACCCAGTGGATATATCAGGTTGTGAAATTTATTTTATCACAACTTGGCAGGTGCCCAGTGCAGGTACTCTTTCAATCGGGGGTCCTGTTCCCTGATAAACCGGAATTGGAAGCAGATTAGGAAAAGGCATCTCCTAGAGAAGGTGGGGAATGGGTTTGGGGCTCCAAATGGCTGGAACGGCAAGGAGACAACCCTCTCGATTGTCACAGGAGAGTGGTGGGGTCCCAGCAACAGTTCTGGGAGCATATTAATGGGATGAGGGGCTCACAGCATCTCTCCGCAAG